ATATAATTATAAACATATATAATATAATTATAAAAATATAATTTTATAATATAAATTAATTTAATAATAATAATATTATAAATTTAATATATATATTTTTAATATTCTACAAACAATACGATTGATTTAATAAATATACATATATGAAATTATAATTTATTTTAATTTTAATTTTTTTATATTTTTGATATAATTTTTATTTTATTCTACACATTATTTTTTATATATTACTAATTAATATATAAATCAAAAGATATTTATATATTTTTAATATTCTACAAACACTACGATTGATTTTATAAATACATGAAATAATAATTTATTTTTATTTATTTATTATATATTTTTTACTTTCTTCTATATATTATTTTTATTTTACTAATTTATATAAATCCAAAGATATATATATATATATATATATATTTATTTATTTTTTTTTTTTTAACATTGTACGAACATAATGATTGTTCTTTTATAAATATTATATATAAAATTATAATTTAGTTTCGTTTCAATATTATTATTATTTGTCAATTTTATCCTAAGTAATTTCTTGTTTTTTTTTGTTCTAACGTTTTTGTAAATTACTAATAAATTAGTTATAAACATTGGTCCATTTAATAGCAACTCGTGATAGATTTGAACGAGCTTTAGGAAGGATAGATGTCACGTCGTAGTAACCATCAACTGTCGGTTTTAATTAAATTTTCCAATCAATTAAGGTTACCATGTAGCTACATAGTCCCAAACTGTTACGAGTAAGAACTTACATAAGTGCATAGATATACTATCCTATATATGTACATACTTATATGTATATGCATGCATACACTATTCGAATGTTTCATTCGTAGAAATACGAGGAATGTGTGACGAAGAAAAAGAGACGGATTAAAAAGAAAAGGAAATGCATTCTTACAAATATAAACAAATAAATATTATGAAAATTACTGTTATTTGATTAGTTCAATCATAGATGTTACGTTAATGACGCGCAATAATATTAAATGCGTCATAATAAAACTTATCATATATATTTGTTTTTTCTTATCAATAATTTATCTTGAGTAATATTGTATTATTTTTTCTTTTCTTTATACTATTATTATTAAAATATATTTTGCAATATACAATCTTACAACAATTTGATATTATAGTTCATAAAAAAAAATAAATTTTAATACTTATATATAAAAATATTAAAACAATTTAATTATATAATTTATAATAAATGTATAATGTAATTTTCTAATTTAATTGTATAATTTAAATATATATATATATATATATTCAATTTTAATTTAATTCAATCATATCATTTAATTATATTATTAAATTTATTAAATATTACTATATTATTTATTAATTTTTGTTTATAATTATAATTTAATTTAATTATAATTATATTTATAAAATAATATTAAAATAAAAAAAAGAACTATAATTTATATAAATATATAATGTATATGAAAATAAAATGAAAATGTAATTTTGCGTTTACAGATACCTAATTTTATTCTAAATTGTTTAACATTTTATCAAATCAGAATAATTTCGATTTGATTTTTCATTTTATTTCCAATTTTTCCGAGTAGTAACATTTTATTGACATTTCAATTAGAATTGAAAAAAAAAAAAAAAATCAATAAAACTCAAAATATTCGTCATAATTTGTTCAAATTATTACCGTCAAAATAATAATGCAATTATGGAGAAAAAAAAAATGACGCTGTCAATTTTTCGATGTTGTCAAACAAAAATTTTTTTTTTTAAACATTTTATTCCAGTAATTTTCATTCGAACGGATTCACCACGTTTAACCGACAAGTTGAATTCATCAAATTCAATTAAATTCCAACCTTAAATATGGAAAATAAAATTAAAAAAAAAAAAATGAAAAAATGATTTTTAATTTGCATCGTAAAAAAAAAAAACAACAACAACAACAAGAACAAAGATTATTTTTAGCGTACGACGCGTTTGTATGAATAAAATATTTTCAATAATAATTTTTTTTTTTCTTGTTAAGAAACGTCGGCTGTTATTAAAAACGAAAAAGAAAACAGAGAGAAATAAGAAATAGAGAGAGAGGAGAGAGAGAAAGAGAGAGAGAGAGAGATGAAAATTGTTGATAAAAATAAAATCTTCGGTAGGAACGTGATCGATCGGTTCGTTGAACCGTTTTATATAATGCAAATTATGGAATATCTATGATCGTGGAAGGATGTCTTCAGATATTTTTATCTTCTACTTTTTTATCCTTGGAAAACATCCACGATAATAAATTCTATATTCGACAGGATGTCATAGCATTGGTTGGAATCGATTCTAAAGGGTACATTCGCCCTTATCAGAACGTCTAACATAATTTAAAATACAGTACGTTTCTACAATAATATATTTAATATATTTTATTTGAACCCATTATAGATCGTTTTTAATTTCTCATTTGATTCTTTATTAATTATAAATTATTTAGAAATTTTATAATAAGATTTATTAATTATAAATTATTTAATAATACAATAATAGGATTTATTAATTTAATTTAATTTAATAATATAAATCATTAATATTATTTAAATTAAAATTATAGTAAATAAATTTAATTATTATCTATTGAATAATTTAATTATTAAATTCTTCTATTATTTAATTTATTAATTAAATT